AACTATCATCACTATCAGCCCTACAGTTATTGTCACCTATCATCCACCCACTACCACCCCCATTTCTGTTACATCAGTCATCAACATCACCACCTTTACTATCGCCACCGTAACTACCACCATCTGCCGCTATCACCATCACCATGACCACCACCATCACCACCTTTATCATCACTCACATCATTTCTGTCGAGCCAAACATCATTACCACCACCATCATCACCTCTACCATCACTCACACCATTCTTGTCAATTGCCACCACCACTACCACCACCATCACCACCTTACTGTCACTACCACCACCACAACCTCTACCTGTACCACTATCACCACTACCAACATACCACTATTGTTGTGTTCACCAACACACCACCATCATTGACATAACTAAGCATCAGAACCATCACTGTCATTATCATTCCTTGTCTTCATAGATATTATTTAGCAGCTACCACCTGCCCTACAGGGGTCGCATGCTAAGAATGTCATCTCACTGAGTCACCACAATGAACACATGTTAAGAATAGAGTATACCTACAACCAGGAGAAGATAAAAGAGATGAATGGGACCGTCTAAGAATCAAATCCCTACGCACATCCAAAAACTTCTCCAACAGGGTAAAAAGAGAAGCCACCGACTGGGAAAAAGTATTTAGTAATGACATATGAGATAAGGGACTTACATCCAGAATTTATAAAATACTTGTGCACCACAGCAAGATAAAGGTAAATAATCCAATAGAAAAATGGGCACAGGATATGCACAGAACACTTCACCAAAGAAGACATTCAAATGGCTAACAAGCACAAGAAGAAATGTTCAAAATCCCTAGCTGTAAGAGAGATGCAAATTAAAACAACTATGAGGTATCTTCTCACCCCAGTCAGAACTGCAAAATTTAACAGAAAAGCAAGCAACAAATGCTGGCGAGGTTGTTGAGAAACTGGAACCCTTATTCACTGTTGGTGGAAGTGTAACATGGTGCAACCACTGTGGAAGGCAGTATGGCAGTTTCTCAAAAAGTTGCAAATAGAGATACCATTTGACCCAGCAATTCCACTACTGGAAATATATACCCCAAAGAGACCATAATTTCCACCCAAGCAAATATATGCACACCCTTGTTTATTGTGGCTTTCTTCACAATAGCAAGGGGTTGGAAACAACCTAAGTGCCCATCAACAAATGAATGGAGAGGGAAGCTGTGGTACATTCATACAATGGAATACTATGCTGCATTGAAAAACAAGGAACTCATGCAATATTATTAAAAATGGGTGACCCTGGAGGACATTATGCTGAGTGAAGTATCTCAGTCACAAAAGGACAAATACTGCATGGTGCCACTGTTGTAAAACAGGACTGACATCAGGGTTGGGGGGAGACTGAGAAAGATGGGATAATTAACGTATACTGCATTGAAACAGATGAGGGAGAAAACTGTTTAAAAGGGATATGTGATTAGGTATTTTTGTCATGACAGGAGTCCAGAGCGAAGGCTGCATAGGGGAGTGGACCTGGGGGGAGGGATTGTAAAACAATGAAAGAATTTTTCTTTTACTTTTCTAAGAGGATAGTGTATTAGGGGGAGAGTTGGGAGGGGAGAAAACAATGAATGAATGGAAATCCAAAGTCTTTGTAAATTTTCATTGAAATTAATTAATAATTTTTATAAAAAAATAAAAAATAGAAACTTAAAAAAAAGAATAGAGTATATGCTCTTTCTTAGATCTATTTTTAGATGAGAAAACAGACTTTGTGGTACACTCACTTGTTGTTGGTATTGTTTGCCGTTGTCTTGGAACCAACTCATAGCTGACCTCCCAGCAGGTTTTCAGAGACAATAAATCGCACAGGAGGAGATTGCCTATCCTTCTTTCATGGAGCAACTGATGTATTTGAACCACGTGCCTTTGGGATTGCAGCAAAGCTTCTTACCGCTAGTCCACTATTTAAATAGTAAATGTGGATTCCAAGTTTGGTGTACTGAATGGTATCTAGGTGTATTATGGCCCATACATAACTGTAAATGAGGCACTCAGAGAGAACTACCCCAAAGACACTCAGAGATACTCCTAAAGGATTCCAAATTTTGAGCTAAAAATAGAACGGTTATCTCAATACAGGTGTATAAAGGACTAGAAGAGCCCACAGAAATAATTTTTTTTTACCATTTTCTTTATTCTTCTGGTATTTTATTATTGTTAACATTTTCTGATTACTCAAGAAATGTAAAAATTTACACTGACCAAGAGGAAATTTTCAAATCATTCATAATGTTTTTCCCTTTACTCTTTGTAATTTCTTTAAAGGTGACATTATCTCTCTTACTCTGTAAATGACATTTTCTTGTCATGCTGTATCACATTGATTTCTGTTTTTGTTTTATTTTTGCATTGAAACAGATGAGGGAGAGAACTGTTTAAAAGCAGTATATGATTAGGTATTAGTATCATGATAAGAGTCCAGAATGAAGGCTGCATAGTAGAGTAGACTTGGGGGGTGGGGGGAGATTGTATAACAATGAAAGAATTTTACTTTTCAAAGAGAAGAGCAAACTGGGAGGTGAGGGGTGTGCAGGGAGAAAAATGCAATAATGAATGAATGGCAATCCAGAGTCTCTATAAATGTTCATTAAAATGAATAATAATTTTTTTGGCATAGGTACATTTTATTTTGAATGATTATTTAAAATCTGAATACTAGAACTTCTTTAGCATAAGTAATCAAATGCACACCTACTTTTTGGAGCATTTTCTATTTTAGAGCAAAAGAAAACCAATGCCTATTGAAATTTGAAAGTAAATCTTGATAGTTTCTTGAAGTAGTAAAGTTATTTCTTTTCTAAAGGTTTTCCACTTGCCGTCTTTTTTTTAATAATTGTAATGAGCATTTACAGAGATGAATAAATGGAAATCCAAAATCTCTGTAAATTCTCATTAAAATTAATAATTAAAAAAATTAAAAATAGAAAACTCAACATTTCATTTCTCAATTCAACCTTTTCCATATGTACAATTTGTTATTTTAGAGACCGGTCCTTGGAGAGGGACATCATGCTTGGGAGCGGGGAGGGACAGCGCAGGAGGGGAAGACCCTCTATGAGGTGGATTGATTCAGTGACTGGGATAATCGGGATGGGTGTGTCAGAGGCGGTGCGGTTGGCACAGGACAGAGCAGGGTTTAGGGCTGTTGTACATAGGGTCGCTATGAGTCGCAAGCTACTCGACGGCACATAACAACAACCCATAACATCTTTTTAAGTTTATGACAATGGATTGTTATTGTGGTGGTGGTAGTGTTGTTGTTGTTTTAGATGTCACTGAGTCAAAATCTGACTCTTAGTGACACTACATACGACAGAAACAAACCCTACCTGATCCTGTGCGCCCTCACAATCTCTGCTATGTTTGAGCCCATTGCTCTAGTCACTGTGTCAATCCGCTTCCTTGAGGGTCTTCCACTTTTTTGCTGACCCTCCACTTTTTCCAAATATGTTATCTTTCTCCAAGAACTGATCTCTCTTGAAAATACACCAAAAGCATGTGAACAAAAGTCTCATCATTTGGTGGTATTGACTCTAAATAAGAGGCTTAAATAAAAAACAACCAAACATTCCACATGACCCTCAAACAAAACAAGAGAGCCCAACTTTAAGAATAGAACTGCTGCCCCTAGTCTCTCTTTCATCTGTATATATATATTACTTGGATTTAATTTTAAATTGGAAAACACTTAATACCGTTCTCAAGATCAACAACATGACCAAAGAATTTTCCTCAACCCAAAATTGGTATTCCACCCTACATCAGAAATCTGTCAGCAACAAAGAGCAACTTTTAATTTGCAGTGTTGTATAAAGAAGACATTTAATACATAGATATTAGAGGACTGAAAACACAACTTAACATAGAGATAACACAGAGGTGTTTGGAGCTGCAATGTGCTGCGAAGATGAGCCAGTCAGGTTGGGGTCGAGATTAGGATGCAGCTCTTGCCCACAGTAGGGTGTGAGATGATCACATTTGGCCTCACCTTTAAAAAGGCTTTTGGCTGCCAGTCTGAGGCTGGTTTTTGTGGATCTCCCTAACTGGCTTGGAAGCGGGAGTGGCATCCACTTCCAAAAAAGCTTGTCTCTGGAAACTCTGTGAACTTGGAGAAAAGATGAAAGTTTTGTGTTCAAGATTTTTGTTCATAGGGTCACTATGGGTCATCTACAACTCTACAGCACTTAACAACAACAACCATCTCCTATCACAAACAGAGTGGTGGAACAAAGTTTTTCTCCATTTATCTCTTCTATTTGAACAGATACTCCTTTCAAACAGAATATGGACAAATCTTTGATTTACACTCTGCTTGAATTTTTTTTTAATAGAGTGTTTTAAATGTGTTTGAATTTTTGTTCTTGTATTAGTTTTGTTTGTGTTTCTCAATATCAGCTGCTTCACTATGGTTGTAGAAACCTCAACAGCAATGACGAGTCCCACTGATGTAGCATTACGCTTGAGGGAGCAGTTTGAAGTGAGTTCTTTGGTGACTAGAAGAAGCTAGAATCTGGAAGTACCTGCTAGTTCAATCAACAGTGGCAAAAGCCGTCTGATAGCGTTGTTGTTGTTGTTGTTGTTGTTGTTGTTAAGTGCCATCAAGTCAAAGGCTACTCATAGCGACTCTATGAAGGAGAGTCCTCAATGCTTGGGTGTCTCTCATCCTCTCTCCAGGTTCATAGGGTTTCCGGAGGCAAGCTATTACGGAAGTGGATGCCACTCCTCCTTCCAAGCTTGTTTTAATCAGAGAGCTCCACCCCACTCTCTGTCCGCATTGAGTAACCAACCATTAACGCACTTGACACATCAGTGTCACAGTGTTCAGCCGCACAGCAACCATTAGTTACCGCTGTACGGCAACTTGTACACCAGGGCTATCCTGATAGCAATCGTATACTAAAATTTTTTTTTTCTTATTATCTCAGATTGTGATCACCTGGGACTGAGAGCTATGGTCAGCAGGTTCCTACTCCTCCTCTCAGGTGAGTGCACAAAGGACTTCCCTTCTCTGGAAGACTAAGTGTTGTTGTTCCCCTAAATTTGAACTTTCTCTGTAAATAATTCTTTGTCCTATTAGTATCTCTCATGTGGAGTTTCTGGGGCTGAGTTCGTCAAAGAAGACTTTGAGATGAGTACTTGATTTGATCAGTTTATTTAGGTGGTGATTCCTGGAGGACCAGGTGGGGCAGGAAAGGGAGAATACAGTATGGTGTGCAAAAGAGTGGGAAGGACTGTGGGATGAGGATGAAGTAGCTCAGTGGCTGACCCCTTGACTTCCACATGAGAGACCTGGGTTCAATTCTTGGTCAATGCCTTTCATGGCCGCCATCAGTAGAAGTTTGAGTGATGCTTAAATGCTGCAGTGTTAGCTTAAAGTTGGCTTTTTTTAGCCATTATTTAGTCCCCTCTGGTGTCCAGGTACCTTAATTGCAGACATGTGGTTTTGCAAATCATCAACAGCTGTGACACTAGGGAGAGAGGAGAGGAGAGGGGAGGGGAAGGAAGGGAGAGGAGAGGAGAGGAGAGGAAAGCTTCCCACATTGACTTGAGAAACACTGACACAAGACCCTGGCGAGAGTGAGAGACCCTGGTGACGACAGTGGAGAGACTGTGGCATTGCTGTGGAGAAATTGTGGCAAAGTATAGCCAGAGGTGTCCTGAGATGAAAGCCACACTTTAAGGTTTTTCTGTGCCTCCCGGATAATTAAGGAGAAGCTGACTTATTACTGCTTTGAGTCAAATCTTGCTGAGTGAATGAGAAAACCATAGGCTTCTTAAACTTGTGTTACTGAATGGAAACTGGCCTGGACTAATTGAGGAATTGTGTCTTGACTGCTGGGCTAAAACCTGGGCTTGCATTGGGTGATATTCTTTGCCTTTCCCACTCTCTAACTTTCCTAATAAACTCCATTCTCAGTACCACAACTGTGAGTCTGTGAGTCGACAATGGATAAGCAAACCTCTTGCTGCTGCTATGGCTCTAGGGACACCCTGGGGCTGGGCTAATATGGGCTCTTTATCTGCTTTCTGTTCTGTGCTATACTTACTCCCTCTGGCCCTTCCAGTGAGACACACATGACTCTCTGCCCCCATGTCCCATTTGATGCTCTACAGATGCTGAACAGATTTCAGGGAAACTTCCAGACAAAAATAGACTAGGAAGAAAGGCTGGGCTATCAGTGTCCAAAACATAGCTAGTGAAAGCCCTTTGGATCACAAAACTCTAACCCCATTGTGTGTGCAATTGCCGTGAGCAGAGGATGATATGATGGAACAACAATAGGGACTGCAGCGATGGACTTGAGTGTGTCAGAGATTGTGAAGATGGCATGAGATAGGTCAATGTCCATGTCAGTTGTTCATAGGGTCTTTATGAATTATACTCAACAGCACCTAACAACAACAGTAGCAGATTCTTCCTCTAATGAAGATCACCCAACATTCTGTCATTTGTCACTGATATCACTCAGGATAAGTTTTATGTTCCACCTACGTCATAATAGGTGTCAGAATATCACATTCTATTTCAAATGAGCCATGCTGGGTTAAAGATACAGACTAATAAATACGTTGTTGGGTGACATCTAGGGGATTCTGACGACCCCATGTGACAGAGTAAAAATTTCCTGTAGGATTTTCTTGACTGTTGTCTTTATAGGAACAGATCACCAGGGTTTCTTTTCCTCTCACAGAGACAACTGGTTGGTTTGAATTGCAAACTGTTTGATTAGCAACCAAATTTTTAAGTGCTGTTTCACCAAGTCCTCTTTGTAAAGATCTATTTTGACAAGCATTTTGGTGTCAGACATGGAGAAAAAGCTGAGACAGTGGCTGGAATGTCAGAGGTTGGGCCCAAGGCTGCAGCCCTTGGAGCCCCTCATGCCCAGTCTCTATGGTCAAAGCCACTGTGCTTGCATCTCACCTGAGAATGAGTGCAGCGAAGGGAGGGAGGGACCTGAGCAGTGGGAGAAAGGTCCCTAAGGGCCCTGGACATTCCCTGTCTGAACTGTCGCTCCTCTCTCTGTTCCAGGTATCAGTGTCCTGCTGGCTCTGTCATTCCGTAAGTCTACTCACAACCCAAGACAAGGGTAAAACAATTGGGATCTGGAAACTTCCTCCAGGAGAGGGAGGGAGTGCTTTTCAATTGAGTCCCTGTTGAGTTCTACTCATACTCTTTGAGTAGGGCTGATTTTCCCCAGAGCTGATTTTCTCTTCTTCATCATCCCCTTGTCACCCCATTTATTTAGCTCTTACACTTGGTGCTCATCAAATCACAAAACCTCTGGTTAGATTCTGACTTATGACAACCCAATGTGTCACAGACGAGGACTATACCCAATGAGGTTTCCTTGACTGTCATCTTTATGAAGGGAGCCCTAGTGACTCAACAGTTAAATGCTGGACTGCTAGCTGAAAGGTTAGCTGTTCAAATCCATACAGAGGCTCTGAGGATTAAAGACCTACAGACCTGCGTCCCCAGGACTCCAGGCAGGAAAACACACTAGGGCAGCTGTGCTCTGTCATACTCGGGGTTGTCATCGGTCAGAACTGATTCAACCACAAGTGGAACAGTCTTTATGGAAGTAGACCTTCAGGTTCTTCCATGACACTCTGGGAAGGCATTCGAGCCGCCAATCTTTAGACTAGCAGTGGATTGTAAACCCCTTATGCCTCCCAGGGACCTCTAATCAAATTACAGGCATTGGCTTCCTGACGACAACAACAACAATCTGGTGGCTTAGTGGTAAGGAGTTGCACTGCCAACTCAAAGGTATGTCACTCGAATCCACCAGCTGCTCTGCAGGAGAAAGATGGACAATCGTATCCCATGTGATTCACTGTCTTTGAAAATCTGTCAGACGGTCAGCTATTGAGTGGATCCCAACTCAATGGGATATGACAAAAGCAACAGTCCTACCAAGGCCATTTCAGAGCTGCCAGTTGGTGAGGAAAGAGCGTTCACTTGGCTGAAGGAGCCCACAGGCAAAGAAATGCAGGTGCAGGATACAGGTGGTTGGTGTGATATTGTCCGCTGCCTTCAGGTTGACTCAGAGTCATGACAGCTTATATACAACAGAGCATGGCATTGCTGGTCCCGCTCCATCATCTCACTCGACAGCCGTTTCTGTGTCTGCTGTGCCAGTACCTCTCACCAAGGGATCCCCTCGCTCTCACTGGCCCTCTGCCTCGCCACACATGGTGTCCTCATCCAGCTCCTGATGAAGACCCCAAAGCTACTGAGACAGACCGTGTTCTGTTCTGAGTCATAAGGTTTTCACTGGAAAATTTTCAACAAGGGATCTCCAGGCCTTTCTTCCTAGTCTGTCTTAGTCTAAAACTCATTCACCATGGGTATTCACCATTACAGCAATACAGGTGTTAGAAAGTAGGGTGGGTGGGATGTTAGCAACCAGTTTACTGAGTGGTGGAATAAAGGAGAAAATATTCTAACACAACAATCCTCATAAGGCTATCTTTTGGGCCACAGCACCTGGAACACTGCAGGCGCTCAATGGATGCGCCTGGGTGAGTGAGTGGTCCTCTGTTCCCTGCAGGTCTCTGTCTGTGCTGCCCTAAAAATGCCAAATCCCACAACAGTACACACTGTGTTTGTGAAGATGGATTCCAGGCCACGTCTGGGAGCACATACTTCACTGAGTCCAACGAGAAATGTGAAGGTAAGTCTCTCTGATCCACTGTCTCTATTTTTTAAAAAGTTCTTTCTATATTAGCACTATTAGCCCTTTGGCTGTGGTAAATGCTGCTGCAAATATCTTTCCTTAACTTGTTAAAATACTTTTTTTTTTAATACTGTAATTCATTAACATCATATTTGATTCATATATATTGTGTTCCATACAATCTCTCATTTACATTGCATTTCATACAATCATTTATTCATACATCTCATATAATTAATTACTACTGATCTATTCCTAATATTATGTCATCTTTTCAAGTCCCCATTGACTCTTTCCCATTCCCTCACTCTCCCCCAAATGCTCCCACTAAACTCTTTTTTCCTGGTGATTTCCACCATTCCCCTTTCCTGTTCTTCATCTGAATAGTTATATACATATCTTACTGGTTATCCTTCTGTTTTCACAATAAAGGTCTTTTGCAATATTTGTCCTTATAACACTGAGTTAGTTCACTCAACATGAACTGTCCTTTCTTAAAGAGCCTGAGTGAAAAACAATATATACAAACCTTGTAAGTAAAGCAGAATAAATTTTTTAAAAAATAACAAAATAAATACATTTTTTAAAAAACATTTTATTGAGATCTTCTGGTGTCTTGAGGAGAAAGCAAGACAATGTAGGACACCCTTTCTGCTGCAGCTACACCTATGGCAGCAACACCTACAGCCGCAGTGGAGACCTGACATGAGATGGAACATTGGAGTGGGGAGAAACATTATTGGTAGGATGGAGAACTTTGTTGAACAAGTAGGGGAGGAAGCCAATATTGGCAGAACTGAGAATTTGGGAGCACAGGCCTGAAGGCTCGAGGCTTAGGTGTCTACATACATATTTGGGGAGTTGTCTTAAATGTATTCTGCTATTTATCTAGATTATAATCTTTTTACTTCCGACCCCCCCAAAAAAAAAGATTTATTGAGTTTAAGATGAAAAGTTACACAGCAAATCAAGTTCTCACGTCTACATAATTTATTTGGTGACTCAGGTTGCATTTTTCAGTGACATTTTTCTCGTTCATTCCACTCTGGTTGTATCATTCCCGGTACACACACACAC